AAAGCATATAAAGACGAACACAAAGAATTTTTTAACAAGCAGAATTTTGTAGCCATACAAAAACTTTCAGATATTATTCAAAATATGAAAACATTCATTAGCGAAATAACACAATTAAAAGGACTGCGAAAATATAGTCAAACCAAATCTATTCAAACTATGTTCTATGAATTAACGACAGAATTTGATAGTTGCATAAATATGTTGAATTTTATTAATACAGATAACATAAAAAGTCGTACAGAGCATGAAAAAGAGATTATAGATAATGATCTTGAAGAACTTAATCAGGTGCTTTATTATTTATTATTATTTCTTATAATAAATAGTCAAATTATAAATTATATTTTAAATAATTATAATAATTATTAGTATCTTCTCAAAATTGGTGGTGGTATCACTGATGAAAATAATAACATAAGCGAGAATGTCAATGAAATAAATATGGTCAAAAAACTCATTTTGGATTCAAGAACTAATCGAGAGCAAATCCAGGCAATTATTGAGGATCAAAATAAGCTGCTTAAACTTGATGATTTTAAAGAGACAGATGAAATGCGTGGAAAAAAAGTTAAAAAGTACATTCGCCTAATTGATAACAAAACCGTCGCTTTTAAATACGTAACTGATGAATCAGATACTACCAATGCTAAGAATGATATTCGAAATCATGTTGCTATTCTTATGAAGCTTAAAGACTGCCATCAGATAATTCAATTTCATGGCCTTATTTCTGACGGCGAAAAATGTCATTTAGTGGCTGAGTGGGCTGAATGTGGCAATTTACGAGAATTTTATAAGAATTACGGTAATGGTGGTCCTATAGACGCTAGAAAAAAACTAAGCATTGCAGTTGATATTGCTCGAGGATTAAACTTTCTACTGGCTGTAGAGGTGATTTCATTTTTCCAGTTATGATTTTTATTTAAAAATTTATTGTCGCGGCTGATGCTGAAATTGGCTGATGCTGAAATTTGGGGTCCCAATTTTAAAATATAGGCCCTGCTAGAATCCACATATACTCTTTAATTATAAATTCTAACCCTAAATCCTAGCCTAACTATAAAAAAAAAGTAGTAAAAAAACACCCCAAAATTTTTTTAAAATTTCGTATCAAAATAGGTCCAAATTTCAGCATCAGCCGCGACATTTATTGAATTATATATTTAAATAAATAATATACAGATAGTTCACCGAGACATTCGGCCGGAGAACATTTTGATAACAGCAAATGAAACAGCAAAAATTACCAACTTTTCATTTAGTAGATACATTAGAGATGATACAAGAAAATTAGCTGTGTCATTACAAACTGTTCGCTACGCTGCCCCTGAAATGTTATATAGAAATAATAATAAATATAATACTAAATGTGAAGTCTACAGGTGTTTGCTTAAATATACCCTTTTACTCATATTTATAACAAATAATTACTGTTTAATAATAATGATTTTTTATATTGTTATTATACTATATAACGATTAGTTTTGGTATTCTTTTATGGGAGTTAGCAGAGCAAAGAATTCCATATGAAGACCTCGATGATATTATGGAAATTAAAAATCGTGTAGATAAGGAAAAATATCGTGAACCATTTACAGATTATTCTGGGTTACCAAAAGAATATAAAGAAATCTCTAGAAAAGGTTTGAGTTTTACTATCTATTTTTGATTTTTTTTTTTTTATCCCAATTCTTTTAGTAATCATAATTTCATTCTTTTATAGCTGTAGGTGCTGATCCCGAATTTAGACCAACTTTAACAGAAATGTTTAAAACTCTCAAAGATCTTTTTGAACCATTAAATCCTCCAACTTTATCCTCTAAAATACCTTATAAAATTAATGATGTTCCGCCCATGTCACATACTCACAATGATAACAATATTATCCAAGATGATAATATTCAAGTTACAGAGATTATCAATTTTGCTGAATTTAATTATATGACAGTGAAAGAAGCCACATTAACTCATCGTGCTACTAATGGTAATTTGGAGATGGCATTCAAATGTTTAAATGCATATGCAAAATTAGGTAATCTAGTCAGTTACACATATATTTTGGTGAATTTAATGTCTGATCATATATAAAGTAAATAATTATTTAAACATTTACAAATTTATTTATTAACTTTATAATAAATTTTAGGGGATTTAAAAGCAAAATACTTTGTTGGTTATTATCTTTACAGAAAGTTAATAAATACTCTTTATACTGAAGAAGAAAGAGAAAGGCGTGCTGCTCAATTGTTTAAAGAAGTTGCGGATGCAAGTGATGAAGTACATGATGCACAATTAAAATACGGGTTATGTTTATTTAATGGTACGGGTGTCGATAAAAATTATTCAGAAGCTGCCAAATATTTTAAGAAAGCTGCTGATAATGGACTTGTAGTTGGCATGTATAATGTTGGAAATATACTTTATACTGGCCTTTCTGGTGATAAAGATGAAGAATTAGGTGTGAAATATATTAGAAGAGCTGCTCAAAATAACCATTTAGAAGCTATTGAATTTTGCAAAAAAAACAATATTTCCATTATTTAGATGTAAATTATTATTGGTTTTCACCATTGTTATAAATTTAGGTAATGAAAATAAATATTGTGGCAGTTTACGCTGAGATTGGCTTATATTGAGAATTTATTTTATTCTATTATAAAATTATAAATTTTGGGGCTTCTTTTTTTCCTGTTAGGATAAGGTTAGGATAGAGCTAGGATAGGATTTAGGGTTTGTATCATTAATAACAGAGTATATGTGGATTTTAGTAAATATTGTAGATTTAAATCGGAATCCCAGATCTCATCATAAGCCGCCACAAATATTATAAGAAATATTATAAGAATAATAACCGCAGCAAATTCGTGACCTTATCTTTTCAGTATATGGACAAATCCGTTCTATACAGTATAAATTTAGGTAAAGATAGTGAAAATAACTATTACAAGAAATAATAACTACTGTTTTACTATGAAAAATTCAGCAAGTTCATAGATCTTCATTCGTTCCCAATTGGCGCAATCATAGCAGCTGTTTCTAGCTTTAAATGTGACAATTATAGTGACCAGAATACATGTTATGAATATACTGGAGTTCAAATATTAACTACTGAAGCAAGAAATTAAACCTATTCCAATTTAAAATTTTAAAATATTTTAGAATGCATTTTTTTTAACATATGAATGCTGTCAATTAAAACCTGTAAGTATCGGAGTTGCCATAAAACGTAACAGGTGACAATGATAGAACAATTTTTTTAAAACCAAATTATATTAGGGTGATGGATAATTAACTAATGTCTGGCTTAAATCATATAAATACAAAATTGTAACCCATAAATGATTGCACGTTTATTTACTTGTACATATCAATTAGAAGAGTATACAAAAGGAAGACTTTTTATGCTTTTATGAATAAAATATATAAATAATAATTTAACATTTACGAAGAATGAGAAATTTTTAAAAGAGAATTTCTATTTGTACATGGGTTTATGTACAGGGCAATATAGATATCTCAAAAGTTTGATTATGAAACCACCTTTTGGCTTCTAACAAAAAAAATTCCTTGCAAAATTTTGGTATAAGCTATATCTTTCCTAATTCCAAACCCACCTTTACCCTAACTATAAGATAGGGTTTAATTTTTCGTTTGTAAAAAATTGTTTTGACGTCATGTTACACGAATGTGTATAAACACTTTGTAAACTAATAAATTTTCTTTTTAAAATTTTGAAAAATAAATTGTTCAAAAAATTGTTAAATTGGTTTTAAATGTATAATTGTTCTGCATTTACAGTTTTTAGAATTAGCTTAATTATTGCCATCACCACTCTGTATATCATTATTTTCTTTTCCCTAAACAAAATGTTACAGTATAAAAATCATTAACTTATTTAAATATATTTGGCAATAATTTGATTACCTTATTAAAAATTGTTGCGAGACTAATCCCTTTATTCTCTTTATTCTTTAATAATTGATTGTATTGTTTTTCAGCGTCCTTATGTCCGTTATCTGCTGCTTTTTTATACCAATCCTTTGCTAAATCTAATTTTTTTTCCGTCCCTATTCCGTTCTTAAAACACCTTGCATAATTGCATTGCCCAAATGGAATATCATTTTTAGCTGCAGTTTCATAATGTTTGAATGCATCGTTTTTACTTTTTTCTACTACTATTCCGAGTTCATAACAATTACCTAAATTATTGCCGGCAGAAATGCACCCTTTACTGTATGAATCTTTAAAATAATCAAATGCCTTTTGTTTATCCTTTCTAACACCTTTTCCATTCAAATAACAAAGTCCTAAGGCATTAGTTGATCTTGCACATTTATCACTTGCTTTTTGATGCCATTCAATTGCTTTCTTTGGATCTTTTTTTGTTCCAAAACCACATCTAAAACATTCACCAAGGTAAAATTTTCCAATTGCATTATCTTCATTCGCTACCTTTTGAAATATTTCGAATGCAATATCAAGTCGTTCTTCAGTTCCAATTCCGGTGAAATAAAAAAATCCAAGAAGACAATGTGAATTTGAATGATTAGTTCTATTTTTAAGATCATTAAATACATCTTCCTGAGATTTTTCCTGTTCTTCAATCGATTCAATTATCGCTTTGCGAATTTGTCGGAATTCATTTCCAAGGTTTGTTAAACTTAAAAAAACAGAAGACCATAGTTTATCGAGCAAACTGCCAGATAAGTTTATAGATGACGTAGTAATTGATGGTATATATGAAGGTGTAGTTAATATAGATTGTCCGTCAACTATAAGATTCGAATTGTAAATCAATATAGGAATTTACAAACTTAAGCAATAATATGATAAGAGAACTTATTACCATTAATAACAGGGGTTTCATTTTCCACATTTGTGTTGGTAATGAATTCTAACTTAACATCAATTTTTGAAAGATGATCAATAATTCCATCTAGAGCTGGACGGTGTTCTGGATCGTTGGACCAACATTTTGTATAAAGGTCTATGTATTCCTGTGGTGTACCCTGAATAGCCTTCTCTCGAACACCTCTTGCAATATGCGCATATATAGTACGATCAGATTTTGAAAATGGAGGAATTCCACTTGTAAGTTCCCAAAATAATACGCCAAGACTATAAATGTCGGATTTCTTATCACGTTTGGTCTTTTCATTAATAAAACATTGTGGCTCAACGTATGCAGCCATGCCTTGTAATTCAAGCGTAAAGGAACCATCTTCATTTAATTCCTTTGATAAACCAAAATCAGCAATAAGCGCCCTACCACTATTTATAAGAACATTTTTAGAGTGCTATAAAGATTTTTAAATAAATTAATCAAAACTAAATAAAATTAATATAAAATGTAAATAACATATTCAATTGATTATGTAACTTACCAAGTCACGATGAATGATATCGTTAACATGCAAATGATTTAAACCAAGGGTCATGTCGTTTGCAAGCCGTAAAACTTCAGTCCAGGTAATTGTGAAAATTCCATTAGACCATTTGCTTTTTAAATAATCTCGAAGGTTTCCGCCATCCGCTAGTTGTAATACCATCACGATACTTTTTGTCTGTGGTTCTAAATGTTATTATATTAAATTTTATTATTTAAATATAAAGTTATTTGTTTTAGTAGAATCCTTCTTAATACCTTCAGAAATTCCATAAAATTTAATGACGGATGGATGATTAACTTTATGAAGGATTTTAAGCTATATAATTTAATATTTCAATAGATTTAAATGTTGGAAAGTTCAAAATTATGTAAAAAAAAAAAATTAGCATGTTACCTCACGGGTTGCAATTTTAGAATTTAATGGTTGGCTTTTTTTCATTTGCTTTAATGCGTATTTGTTTTCTTCGAAAGTAGCAGAGGATACATCTGAGAAGGCCCCTCCTCCAATAGGCTGAATATCTTTAAATGATAAGTAATCATAATGTTTAACTTGGAGGTTCTCTAAATATTCATTTGCATTGTACGTATTAGCATTTATGACGTCAATAAACTTACGAATATATTTATTAATAATTTGATAACTTACGAAGTGCTTCAGGATTTTTTTGTTGATCTCCCATTATACACGTACGTACGTACGTACTTGATAATAACTGATAATAATAAAAAAATTAATAACGAATATGAATGTGCGGAAATGTTTTTTCATCATTCCGGACCAAATATAACAATGATATGTGACACACACAAAACGATCTATTCCATTCTTAAAAAATTTGTGACAGGAGGGACTTTTCCTAAAATGTACCATTATGTTTAATTATTAATTTGTTAAATTAATTGGTGTACTCAATTAACGTTAGACTTAAGGGTTAGCATCTATATCTGGAATCAATGAACATATATATATATAGTTTAATGGATGATTCGCACTCAATAACTAGAAAGATTAAGTTATACATCATAAAAATTTATTATACTTGAAATGATATGGTATGGTGCGTTTCACATTGGCGGATTTTTAAAGAACCATAAAAATTATGGAGTATTAACCAATTGGTTGTGCGGGACAATCGTTAGATCATTAATATTCGCGTTGAATTAAAATTTATTTACGTAATGAGCCGACAATATTTCTATTCTAAAAAAAATTAATCAGTTAAGAGGTTGGATAATCAGTTAGACGTGAATTTTTATATTATATTTTCAAGTTTTAGGGTACTTGATAGGATGGACTGATTATTTTATTAGATCTGCGATAAGTTATGAATTAAAGCCAAAAGTTTTAATAGAATTTCACGTACATACGTACGTATGTACGTAAAAAATTTAATTTATTAAGCATATGGGGTGACAGTAGAAACCAAGCAATTTGTTTTTATTAACTTTAAATTAAAATACCCCAACAACTATTAAATCAAACTTGATAAAAAAATTCCCCAACAACTATTAAATCAAACTTAATAAAAACATTCTATGACCATATTGAATTAAAATAAAAAATTTTTTATCAAGTTTTGTTTAATAGTTGTTGAGATATTTTAGTTCAAAGTTTAAAAAATATTTACTTAGAAAAAAATTGCTTGGTTTCTACTGGCACCCCCGTATGGTACACATGCATGTAAATTCAGTATTTAACCCAAATTTGATGATTTCACATTATTTTTTTTAAAATACCTATACAGATTGCAAAAGGCTACCTTTGTCGTTTTCTAATTTTTAAAAATGACATACGTCAATTAATATTTGACGTAAATTATGAAACGACAACAAATTAAATGAAACTCTTTAACCTTACCAATATAAAAGGGTCTTGAAGGATTAAATAATCCAACATCTAAACTCTGAATCACGTGAAAGATTTGGCTTTTTAGTGCGTTCAAACGTTCATCATAACGTAAGTCTCCACTATTCGATCGAAAATTGCGATCTAAAAATTTTATCTGTTTTCATAATTATTGTTACGGCTGATGCTGAAGTTTGGCTGATGTTGAAGCTAAAAAATCTGATTGGCTAAATTTTGCAGAT